AAAAATCACTTGGTGCACACATTCCCAGGAAGCAGGTGCCTTTCTGTGCTCCTGAAAGGTGCTTTTTCCTCCAACAAGACACAGGTGCTGCCACAGTGTGAGTGCAGAACCAGAGATGCGTCTCACTGTGTGTGAGGTGTAAACCAGAAACACTCCAGCAGCCACAGCAGCTTCCCCACAGAATTTTTTAACTGCTTTTTGCTGTAAATTAGTAAATGCATAATACCAGCCTATGGATACAAAAATTCTTAGGAAAGTGTCTTGCAAAAGAAATACATGTTTTTCACTTTCTGACAAGGCAGTTGTAGCATGACGTTTTTTCAGTTCTGATAGCAGCCTGTAGAATAAAAAAAGAACCCAGCAGCTGAAGTTGCTCAAGTTAGGAGCTTTTTCAGATAAAAACTCCACCTGTATCATTACCTAAAGGAAATGTGTTTCTCAAACCAGAAGCATTGGCCAAATAATGCCAATTAAGATAAATGTCTTAATGGGACATTTTAATTAGTGTGTTAGGAAGAAGGAAATCCAAATCGTTTGCATGCATTCACCTTTCTAGTTATTCAGAAGAAATCATTCCACCCAGAATCCACAGGAGGGCAATGCTGCTTAAGAGATTGAAAACCAGAGACATCTGAGCAGTCCCTTTCCAACACAAATTCCCGTGTTACCACATATTCTTGGTAAAAGCTGCTGCAAAATAAACTATTAAGGATTCTTTGTATCAATTTTTGTCGTTCAAGAAACATAACTTTTTCATGCTATTTAATGGGTCCGAACTGCCAGGACGGAAAATGAATAATTAAGTTTTGGAAAAGAGCATGAAGGACAATAGGAAAACATCATGAAGTCAGAAGTAGTTTGTAAGTTATAAATATTTTTTCTAAACCCTCATATAAACACAAAATCGTATCTTTTTAACTAGCTTCAACATTTTTAGTTACATCTGTGACTTCCACAGTTGGCAGGCATTGATTATTTTTTAAGCAATTTATATATAGCACTTGAATTTTTAATGAGTTTAAGTAATTTTTGTATAGTACAATGCTCTAGGCTTAGGTTTAGTTTGACCTTTCAGCAGACAGAAAGCGTTTTGAAGTTTCATGCAGACTGCTGAATTAGTTCTGCATTCACATTGAAAACTGTAATATTGTCACCTTAGCTCCACACAAATTTCACCCAGATTTTTCTAACTGTGCATAGGTGGGGACAGTTGGGAATACAAGGGATACATAACTTCCCACATCACTCTGAGATGCACACAGAGGCAAAGATTTTTATTTTCATCATTTCAATCAGATATTATTGGACTTTTGGAAGGCTCACTCCTACCCAAATCAGCACCTCAGGCAGAGTGTAATTGTGTGGTTCATAGGGAGCATTTTGTGTAAAAATACAGCAGCACCACGAGCATTCCCAGCCTGGCACTTTGCTTTAGTTAGAGGTACAAAAACTTCTGAAAGATGTCCAGCTGTCCTTGAGAGAGCTCTTACCTTTTTTGGCAAAAGTTTATCTTTCACTCTGTTCTGCTGTTTGCACTTTCATCTGCATAAACATCAAACCTGTGATCTTACTTTGGAGACTTTCATGAATTAGTAGTGATTAGGAGAGGGGTTTTTGTTGAAAAAGATTAAAAATTACTGAGAGGCAACTAGACAGACTTTTACCCCCCTAAAGTCTGAATATGACACTCCTGAGGATAAAAATCTCTACCTCGTGTAAATTCAGATGGGAAATAAAACACTACCCCTCTCTTTTATTTGCTTAATGCAAAGGAAGATAACCTACAGATAAAAAGGTAACAGGATAACCCACAGGTACGATTTCTTCAATAAGTAGTATCAAAGTTTATCTGTTAAACAAAATCTTCCTGGAGCCCTTGCTAAGGGGAGTTTGCTGAAGAAAGAAACACCTTTGTGAAGGGTGAAGTGGAAAGTCATCAGAGAATTGAATTTGCATCCTTTTCTTTGGATTTAAGTTACCATTTTTTCTTAAACCCTGCCCTCCCTCCTCTTCCCTCTGAAGTTCAATTTCTCTTTTCCTCTTTCATCTTTTCACTCTTCTTTAATAATTCATTATTTCCTTTCTTCTCTTTCCTAAAATTGTATATAAAAGCTGGCCATAATTTGAAGTGATGGGATGAAAGTAAGGCAGCAAAATATGGTCTCAAAAGTCAAGATTCTTGTGAAGGATCAAAGAATGTAGTGATGCTGAGACAGATGTGAGAGGGGAGAATTTTCACTGTATCTTAGTCTGAGACAGACCAGGATCCTAAGTTTTGCCAAAGGAAGACCTAGAGCCAGCAACAATCTCAGCCACACTCAGATCTTTTTCACCTGTGAATTTTTCATTATGTATTTTCCAATTAAATTAACATCTACGTGCTTTTGTTTTTTTCCTCTTAGCTATTCCTAGACTCCAACTCTTTCTCATTCCACAGAACCTCTGTGGGGTGGGTTTGTAGTGCTTTTGCATGACTGATGTTAAATTTTGTTTGAACACAGCAGGAGGAGCTGTGCTCTGAAGCTCAGTAAGTACCTGCCTGAAATTAGCTGAAACACATCCATGCTATTCAAGACATTTTAAAATGAGCTGATGTGAAGTAAGACTTTCTAGACAGGAAATAGCAATCTAGAAATCCTGGTTTCAATCCAGAAAATAAAAATGCTTGTTACAGTTTGAAACATGCTGGAAAATTGAAACAGACTGAGATTAATGGGAAAAAACCTTTTGATAATTTAAGTATTTCTTAATTAACAATTAGGACACTGAAAGATGTCATGCCATGAGAACAGCAGGGTTTGGTATGCTCAGTGTTGTTATGAAAAGACTCCAGAATGAGAAAGAACAAACCAGAGATACAAATTGTCATATTCCCCCCAAATTTGTGAGCTATTGAAATAATTCATTTTTTGGCAGAGACAACTTTGGTAAAAGTGAGTTGGAGAAGTTCTAGAAAACTACAAAGAATTGAATCAGGGTTTGGAAAGAGGGATCTATTATAAAATATGAATTTATGCAGTCACACTCCTATTACAATTACTCATCTATCTTATCTCTTTTTCAGTGAGAAAAGTAACTTGGCTGACCCAAAAATTAAGATGCTAACCTTCCAGCCAGGGAGTTTATTCATCTCCATCTCAGCTCTATGCCAACTGAATAAGGTCTAGAAAGTAGCCAACAGTTCATGGCATGACACAATTTTAAAAATTAATATGTTATTATAAGTAACTCATTTATAGTTATATCAGATTTTTAAACAGTTGACTTTTCATTCTAGTCATGAGCTAATTGAGAATCAAATTGAGATCAGGCATCAAGGATATTGCAAAGGTGTCTTTTAGAGCTATGCAGCATGATGGAGTGAAACCTAAACTCCAGGTAGTGAACCTGAATTATTTTTGTGACAATTATTTCCAGAGCCATGGAGCAGGGCTTCGACTTACACACGTACATCCATGGAGAAAAGGTGCCAGGGCATACTTAGCTGTTGCTAGTTTGGTCACATTATGAGCTATTTGCTCAGAATCCCTTACTGGGGTGTTGATCACTCCACAGAACAGGAAAATGTGAGGGGAGTGTGTTTTTCCTCCATCACAGCATATTATCTTACTTACATGGCATTAACCAGCACATCCAACACTAACAAATGAGATTTCCAATTATTCTTGTTTATTTTTCTGTGCCTCTTTGAAGTGCTGTGAAGAACAGTATTTATTAAGAAGCAATAATCCAGGAGAGAGTTTTGCAGGTGTTGATTGACAAGAAGTTCAACACGAGCCAGCAATGTGCATTTGCAGCCCAGAAATCTGACCTTGTCCATGCTGCATCAGCAGCAGCATGACCAGCAGGATGGTGGAGGTGGTTCTCCCTCCCTGCTGCACTCCTGTGAGACCCCACCTGCAGTGCTGCGCCCAAGGGCTGCAGCAGCTCTGCTCTGGAGCCAGCCTGAGGGAGCTGGGAGTGCTCAGCCTGACAAGGGAAGGCTCCAGGGACACCTCAGAGTCCCTCCAGTGCCTAAAGGGGCTCCGAGAGAGCTGGAGAGGGACTTTGGACAAGGGCCTGCAATGGCAGGACAAGAGGCAGTGGCTTTGTAGTGACAGAGGGCAGAGTCGGGTGGGATTTGGGGAGAAATTCTTGACTGTGGGAGTGGTGAGTCCTTGGAAGAAATCACCCAGAGAAGCTGTGGCTGCCCCATCCCCTGCAATGACAGGACAAGAGGCAGTGGCTTTGTAGTGACAAAGGACAGAGTCGGGTGGGATTTGGGGAGAAATTCTTGACTGTGGGAGTGGTGAGTCCTTGGAAGAAATCACCCAGAGAAGCTGTGGCTGCCCCATCCCTGGAAGTGGCCTGGAAGTGATTTCTATCCCTGGAAGTGTCCAAGGCCAGGTTGGATGGATCTTGGAACAGCCTTATCTAGTGGGAGGTGTCCCTGCCCATTGGAACTGGGTCATCTTTAAGGTCCCTTCCAACCCAAACCAGTCTGTGATTCCATGACCCTTCAGAAATGTTACAGGTCTCTGAATCAGCTCTTGGCCAATCTGCTGTTAAGGAATTCCTTCATGTGGGAAGCTGAGAAATTGTGCATGTACATCTCTACTAAATCTTGCTTTCTGAAGAAGGAGGCTGCAACGGGCAGAAACAAGGACTACTGCACAGGTACATAGCAGAAACAATTAAGCTAAAGCAAAAATTTAGAGCCATCAACCATCAGCAAAGATTCCTGCTGGCCAAGGAATCATGTAAATGCCAGAGCAAAAGGTGAACTTAGAGGAGTTAAATGTTCTTTTTTCACCAACAGGTTGTTGCTAATACTACACAAGTTATCACAAACTTTAAGTTTAAAAACCTATTATGGCACTTCACCTATCACTTAATACTGAGCACTTTAGAAATGACAAGACCATTGATAAAAAGTAAATACAATTCTGCTATCCATTAACCTTTTTTGCAAACAGACACTCCAGCATCTGGCTGAAAAAAATCCTACTCTGCATACATACCTTTGACATCAGGAATAAACACACCAGGAGCAGCTACACCCACAAGCTTCTGATGCTGGATGTGATCTAATTCACAACAGGTTACAAGACAATTAAATCCACACGAGACAGCAGGGTGATACAACTGTAAAAATCAATGGGTCATGTGTTAAAGACTCCACTTTTTCCACAAATGAAGGACTGCATACAGAATTATATTAGAAACAGAGGCATGTGTAAATAAGCAAAATGACCTTTGAATCAGAACATCTTTTCATTTTATTGACTTATTTGCTTCACAAGTAGATATGCATTTTTATGGCCTGTTCTGATGCTTATCTATGACATTGCATGTTCAGGTCCTGATTAACTTCCTGGGGTTACACTACAACCAGAAGCAGAATTTCTAAAGTACTTTGGCAAAGCTTTGTTTTTATAGTAATACTGACATAATCAAACCCAGCAAGCTCTAGAAATGCTTTAGAAAAATATATTCCCATCGCTTGATTGCAGCATTTTTGGTTAAAATATCAGAATTCCCAAACCACACCTAGAATGAAAAGCACTGGGTTAAACTAAAGAGAAGGAAGTTTTATAGGATGCTTGATTGCAGCATTTTTTGTTAAAATATCAGAATTCCCAAACCTAGAATGAAAAGCACTGGGTTAAACTAAAGAGAAGGAAGTTTTATAGGAAGGTGTTAACGAAGTCTTCCTAGCAGTCAATTAGGCACTTGAATCCCTAATCCAAGATCATCACAGATGGTTAAAAACAATCTGGACAAACACATCATGAAGAGACTCAAATACATGAAAAGCAGGATGTTCGTCTGGCTGGCCACAAAGGCTCCCTCCACCCTGCGCCTATTTTATTCAAATGCTATAGCATGACAACCAACTATATTTTTAGATAATTAGTTCTGAATTGTACTTCAGTACAGCATCAGTATTGTTCATCCCAAAAATCCTACTGCTTTTTTGAAAATCCATTCACTCAAAAAAACCAGACTGAGATACTGGAAGTTAAGTGTACCCAGGCAAAAATGCAAAAGTTTATACAGCAACTTACCAGATTGCAGGTCCTAAGAAAAGCAGTTCCTTTCCCACTCCATAAATGTTCATTCTAAATATTTAGTGAGTAAGCTGAATGCTTATTTTTATAAACATGTGTCTACAAAACGTATAAACTCTTACTGAAAAAACACTAAGAAAAATAAAGCCCCTGTTCACTATGTGCTAGTGCAGTGTGCATGCCTTGCTTTTCAGGAATACTGTTTTTATCTGAGGAGTATAAGCTAAAATATCGATTTATAATGAAAATCTGATTATCTTAATTGCAATAAAGCAAATGATACACTTAATAGGATGTGCATGCTCTTTCCAAGCAGCTTATTGTATTGCTGTCTCAGTTAAGAAAGCAATATGCCATCTGCAGATGTTTATGTATGAAATCCTGCAGAGGGAAAACATTTGAGCTACAGAACAGATTAAATAATTGAAAATGAAATTGCATGATAAGGTATTTGACAGGGTGGAGGGAAGCAGCACAGTGGAGGAAAATCCATCCCCATGACTACTGGTCCTTCCTCCTCCCTGCTCACTGCTGTTCGTCTCCTCTTGGATTCCAGAGCTTGTTTTATTCCTCAGCAGCCTTCCTGCAGCCTGGCAGATTGAGTACTGCTGGAAAGTGGGGATCTGTGGTTTCTTACAGACAGAAGAAAGCAGAGTTTAAGTATTGCTTTAGGAGACATGGCTTTGCTCTGGATTTGTTTATACAGAAAGAAGATGTGTTTGCTGGCTCTGAGGGAAAAGAAAAATTGTTAAAGCAGTGTGGATATGACTTGAATTTTTCATCAGGTAAGAAGTCAGAAAATCAATAAAACTATGACAAAAGTTACTGAAATATCTTTTAAAGCATTAGTTTATTATCTATAACCTATATTTAAAATTGACTGTAATTTTTCCTCCACATTTTATCTGTGCAATACTTAGGAACTTAATAAACAAGGTTTGTAATTGAAACATCTGTTGGTCACCTTGAAAGGATGGGACTGTTCATCTTTAGCATAGGTAAGAAAATAGTTAGGAAAGAAAGCCTTTCTAAAACTCATTTTATTTTAAACCTTTCTTTTGCTCATGAACATTTCAGTAATGTTTCTGCAGGCAGAGGAACGAAACAAGACTAGGGGGTTTATAGTATCTTACAGTGTTAAACTCTTAGTATGGTAGAGAATCTTTTCCAAAATGCATGGATTAGGGCTTGAAGGAATGAGTTCTTTTTGTTAAACACTTCAATTCTGGTACCAGCTGTAGCTGTGATCCAAGAATGCTGATTCCATAACATTTATTTATTAGATTAAAGAATGCTAGTATGTATTACAATATAGTTCAACATGCTGTAGTAAATACTAGAGTAACTTATTTTTTAATGCTATGAATATTTCAGATGTTTGCCAAGACAGGTGAATTTGTTTTATTGCCAAGGAAATGTTTAAATTGCCTCGTAGAATGGTGTGTACTAAAGACTGCACTCTTTAACTCCCGGCACAAACCAAAGAGTGAAAAGAAATTGCACATTTTCCTGAGAAAAGGCAGTGTGGATGGAGAGTGTGCCTAAAACTGATGTAGCAAGTGAACTGATTAGGTCAGTACAGGGACTTTTCCTGAACAGAAAATGCCAGAGAAGCCCTACCATCCTGAATTCTTGGGAGAGGACATTCAGAATTTGCTATCAAACTGTGTTGTGCATCCATGGAGAAATAAGCAAGCTTAGCAAATAGTGCATAAAATATTACCAACTTGGCTCAGTCTCATGGCCTTTTGCATCCCCCACAGCTTCTCCTGCTCACATAAAAAACAGGGAAGAGCAGAGTTTGTTTTTGAAGGCATCAGGTCTGTGCCAGCCAGGTGGACACCACAGGCACTGCAGAAAAAGATCCCTCTGGGGCAAAGCAGCCAGGCTTTAGATCCTCACACTTCTGAAGTGGCAGTAAACCTCACTGGGGCAACAACTGCCAATCTACCGTGTAGTGCCTCTGTCCTTCCAGCACAAGCATCCTTGGGTGTGAGAAACCCAGCCAGGCAGTCAGTGCTGCTCCAGGGCAAGGTGGGTGACAGTGCTCTCCAGGAGCACCCATTGGTGGCCTGAAGGGGCTGCTGCCAGCCTCACCATCAGGTTCTGCATGTGACAGTCAGAGTCACAGCCCCTGCCTCTCTCCTGGCCTCAGGAGCACAAGAGTTTGTGGAGTCTGGCGGGCACACAGTAGAGTACCCAGCTCTTGCCCTACTGAAGCAGCGACACCTGCAAGGGACTGCAAAATCTATCAGAGCCACCAGGCTTCCATAGTTTTTGCAGCAGGATTATAGAGTTTTCCATGTCATTCCCCAGTATAGCTTTAGCCAAGCCAGGTACATTCTGTAGAGAGACTACAGGGCTTAATGCCCTGACCACAATTTAAGTAACTTTTGGGGAATCAGGGCCACACAGAGTCACATGTATCTACAGCCACTTCCCACTCCAATGAGCATGCTGATTGAAAAGAGTGTTTTAATCAGAATGAAAATGGTAATAGATGCTCCAAAGGTGAGCATGGTGTTTTTTGGAGATTTTTTAAGATCCTAATTTGAAGCACCCAAGCTTATGTTAAACAGAAGTATCAGGATAAAGGAGTCCAGGATATAACTCTGGCTGGAATATTCTTTAAGTTTCTATGGGAAAATAACTACAGAATCATAATTCCAGTTTACCCTGGATTTAGTGTTTCATTTTGCACAGGCAACCAAACTTTTAAGAATCCTTATTGATTAAATAATGGCAACCATTTCTGTGAAAGGGCTTACAAATCTTCTACACATAAGCAGACTTTTTCTAGTAATAATAAAACATCCACCTATCCCTTCTTTTTTGTGTATCCTCTAAATTCCCACTGCTTCTTCATTCTCTTCATTCCCCTTTCTCCACAGGCTCTCAACACCATTTCTAGGGGTGAAGAATGATCTCCTTCCAGCTAGTTTTCCAGTAATTTCACAGAGGAATTAAGGTGAGTTAAAGTTGAGTTTTGAAAGATATATGTGTAGAACATATATCCATTACCCATTTTTAAATTTTAAAATAGCTCTTTTCATACATAGCTTTTCCTTTCTCAGGTTGGAAACAACCTCTTTCTGGCCAGAAAGCTGGTGAGCCTTTAAACTGAGATTAAGTTCTGCATTCAGTGATAAATTCAAACCCATCAAGATGTTATGTTGAACCTAACTCTCATTTTAAAATAGCACTTTTCATACCTAGCTTTTCCTTTCTCAGGTTGGAAACAACCTCTTTCTGTCCAGAAAGTTGGTGAGCCTTTACATTAAGTTCTGCACTTAATGATAAATTCAAACCCATCAAGATGTTATGTTGAACCTAACTCTTCCCGTTAACATAAGTTTTAAAACCACAGAACTGTTCTAATACCAGATTTTTTTGCTCAACTCCTGTTTAAGTTAGAGCTGAAAGAGGAGTTATTTTCTGTATAACTACAATGTGAATTTTATTTTGTTTACATTTTTCTCAGGTTAGATTTAGGAAAAAGAACATACTATCTTCAATGCATCAGTAGAACAGGAAACTCCCTTTTAGATATCATTCATAGAGGTTTTGAATGCCATTTGAGCTCAAGCACACATAACTTTGATTAATTCAGGAGGATTGAGTGTATTAACTCACATTGCTTTGTAGTTCTAAAGAAAATCTAAGTGTGATGTCTAAGCTAGTAGAGTGATGGCAGGACCCAATTCTTCTTTTCTGGTAATACAAAAGCAGCAGATTATCCTCATGGGAATCCATTAAACCTTTTAAATCTTCAGCAGAGACAGATCTTAAAATACTTTATTCTGAAAAGCAAACTTCATCCACAACTGGTAAAAGAGGATTTGTGTGAAAGTGTCTGTGCAAGTTCAGTCAGAGCTATCACAGCTGTTTCTTGTCTATCAGTTATAGGTCTGTAGCACTGTCAGTGCAGAACCTCAGAAAGGTGACATCAACCTCCTTCCACAGGGATACATAAACCCACTAATAACCATCTGCTTTTCCAGTACTCTAATTAATCATGTTAGATTTGCTCAAAACTTCAAGGACACTGACTACAATGATAGACCCACAGTACTCACTGCTTTGAAAATCTCCATGCAAAGTATATTCTAAATAATACAAGGTTTTGTCCATAGGTTGGAAGATGCTTCAGGATGGATAAAGCTGTTCAGCACACCAGTGAGATCCTGAATCAAACTATCTCTAACATTAGCCTCTCTCAGTTCTTGAACTTTGATACATGCCACCTTTCCTCCCTTGCAGAATTCTTGCTTATTACAGCTTACACACTGGTTACACTGGTGGGGCTTGTTGGAAATCTTTGCCTAATTGTTATAATAAAGAGACGGAAAGAAGCTCAAAATGTCACCAACATTTTGATTGCCAACCTCTCTTTATCAGATGTCTTGATCTGTATCATGTGCATTCCTGTCACAGTTGCATATACCTTAATGGACCACTGGATCTTTGGGGAAGCAATGTGTAAAATAGGCTCTTTCATACAAAGCCTGTCTGTCTCAGTCTCCATTTTCTCACTTGTACTCATTGCTATTGAGAGATACCAGTTAATTGTAAACCCACGTGGCTGGAAGCCTAATATTTCACATGCATATTGGGGAATCCTTTTCATCTGGGGACTTTCCCTCATCATATCCACTCCTTTTTTAGTATTCCACCAAATAACAGACGAACCCTTCAAACATTTGTCTTTCCACAGTGATTTCTACAAGAACAAGGTCGCTTGCATCGAAGCGTGGCCGTCTCTTACAGAGAGACTGATTTTCACCACTAGCCTGCTGGTTTTCCAGTATTGCTTCCCACTGGGCTTTATTTTTATCTGCTATCTCAGGATATTTGTGTGTCTTCGACGGAGACGAGGTAAAATAGACAGGATGAGAGAGAATGAGAGCAGGCTGAGTGAAAGCAAAAGGATCAATATGATGCTGGTATCAATCGTGGTGACCTTTGCAGCTTGCTGGTTGCCTCTCAATATATTCAATGTGGTTTTTGACTGGAACTACGAGGCACTAATGAGCTGTAATCATAACCTGGCATTTACAATCTGCCACCTTGTGGCCATGATCTCAACATGTATCAATCCCATCTTTTATGGATTTCTGAACAGGAACTTTCAGAAGGATTTGGTAGTATTAGCCCACCACTGCAGATGCTCAGCATCACAAGAGGAATATGAAAATATTGCCCTTTCAAACCTGCAAACAGATGCATCTAAGGGGTCTCTGAAGTTAAATAATCCCCATGTGGATATATAAGATAATCTAATTACAGTTTCCAAAATTCTGTATTTTGCTACAGATGGCCTTTTTCTGCAGGTCTTGGGCATGTTACCACCAAGTTTAGAGGAAGTCTTTGCCATTTAGTTCATCAAAACCAGGATTATCCTCCCATAGGCATAGTCTTAACAGGTACTTTATGATAGTATTAATGCTGGTAAAACCACTTCCAACAGCCCTAAAGATCAAGCATAATAAATTATAAACAGTATTAACGTCTTACTTTTTTTAATCCACCATTTTCAAGTCACTGGCATGCTACCTTAACTCCAATAAAAATATTTCCATTTCAGCCACTGATGGGGATGTGCTTCTTAAATACCTGCCTCTCCCCAGGTAAACCCTGAACACTGTGCTATTCCCAACTTCAGCAGCATTTCACACACAGTTTTCTGGCATTTTTATTTTCCAGCCCTACACCAGGGCCCTCCCTGATGAATCTGCAGTTGAGAGGCAGTTCACACTGTAAGGAAGGCCCTTGAAGTTATCCTAAGACTCCACCACCTTCCTTTCAGCCCCCTCATGCAGTTTGCTTTGGCTTAGTACCAGTTCAGCCCAGAAACTGTATTTTAACAAGGGAAAAGGCTAGAGCTGGACTTTTTTTTTTAAATGAACACTAAAACAGGACCCATTTGATGTACTGCAAGTTTCACTCAGAATGATGTTGTTCAAGATGAAATATATATTTAGCATTTCTCCTAAAAGCATTGCATTCTCCAAAGCACCAGTAAAGATCATTGTTTTCTCTCTTATCATCATCACTGTTCCTTTTAGAATCTCCATTACCAAAACAAGCCACTATGAATTCAGAGTAAATTTTGTTCTAGCTGCTTACTTGGATTTCTCTTTGAGTAGAAAATTAGGTTTGCATTTTAATGTCAGCAATATTTTCTCCCACTTTTCTGCACTAGCAAGAGGGCATGCTTGAGCAGATGTGGTCATTTCTGTTTACAGAAACTCAATCTCTGTGTTTGAAAGTAGTTTCTTTTATAACACAGTGCAAAGAAACCTAGAGGGATAATACTCAACACAACTTTTCTTAAACTAAAATATTTTAAAAACCAATTTCCAGCGTGGCCATAAAAAAGTAGTGAAACTTCTTCTTCATCCATGATATAGTGGCAACATAAATAATCAGTTACTATTGAGCTGTTTAAATACAGTACTTAGAATACTTTAGTCCAAAAATTCACCATGCTTCCTCTTGTTCAAATTAAAGATAATTCATTACTTGTACTGCTAAAGCCCTTTCTTTTTTTTCTTCTGAGTTTCAAAAGCCCCATAAGGTTCCTTGTAAAGTATGCTCTAACTTCAGCAATTTATTAATACCCCACTTAAGGAAAAAGAATTCACATTCAAATTTCAGTGAGCTCCTTGATGACTCAGCTGTGATGAAACTCACCTCAAGGCTGTGAAGTTCTCTTGCAGAGGGAGCACTGCTTTCCTTTGCCATCCAGTTCCTAAAGGGCTCAGGCACAGCTCTCTTGTTCCAGCATTAGTTCAGACTGTCTGCACCACTCTGCTCATCAGAGGAGCTCTGTCACAAGAGCTCAGCAGCTCCTGCAGGTACTCAGGTTTGTTAAGTGCCCCCTGATCCACACTGAGATGAAAGACCTCGGTGAAATCTCTCAGTGTCTGAGCCCATGAAGTCATAAGGGCTGCCCCATCACAAGAGCAAGACTGGCAGAATTAGTGACGTGGTAATCAAGTATCTGAGTGATAGGTATGTATTAATTTGGCATAATTTAGGGTTTTTTCCTAATTAAATTGAATATCATGCATTTGGAATAGATTACACAAACCTTAACACCTGCCTTGTGCATCACAGAAAAGAAACCAGGAGACAGCTAAATACCTAAGAAAGGCCAATGATCAGATTGCTGAGAGTATCTCAGCATTAACTATTTCTGTGAACTTCAGCCCAGGTCACTGGGCTGCCTTTACTGCTGATGCACATCATCTGTTTGCTCAGCACAGCAGGCATTTCACCCAGTTACAAGCAGTACCTTGCAGTCAATGGCACTGGGCTGTGCATGGTCAGAGGGGCTGTGCTCTGGTGCAGGGGAGGGGATGGAGCTGCTTCTCTCACCACTGAGACTCCTCAGGAACAAAGTGATTCACTGTCTCCATTGCACCTGGCTAAACTGAGAGCAAATCTGGTCCAGGAACTTCAGTTTTCTTGGGGATCCCAGTATCTGTATTGAAAACCATCTACTCCTGTCAGAAGGCCATTTCCTGAACAAATGTGTTTTAACAATGCTGGTGTCACACCTGCTAGAGGCTGGGCTATCAGCTGTATTTCCCTGGGTTTGGAACACAAATCTCTATCACCATCTTCCTCAAATTTAACTACACTGCTTACAGTTTCAGGGCCCATGCTTAAAGCATTTTAGAAGCACATGACATTCACAATTTACTCTGATTTATTAATACTAGCACAGCAGTTCAGGTTACTCTCATTGGCAAATGTCTCAGAGAGTATTTAATGTTTGAATCAGGCCCAGCTGAGATTCCCATGTGTGAATTTGGCCTAAGTGGCTGCCATCCCATCCCATCCCATCCCATCCCATCCCATCCCATCCCATCCCATCCCATCCCCAAGCCCACGTGTGCTTACTTTTACAGCGGAGGTGGTTTTAGTATCATGTCCCAAGTGGTTCTAAAACAGCCATGAAATGAATTCTGGTTCAGATTTTGTGATGCTGATGGATGGTCTCTCTGCTGTCTCTCCAGAGAAGTGCTTGGGCAGTATATATTAGACAGGCAAGAAAAAGAAGATTGCCATCACTTTTTGTAATAGCAATTGTCTACTCCTGACATCCTGATCAGAATTAAGCACTCAATTTTTCCTTCCAGTCTGAAATTCTTGGTATAAGAGGGTTCTTCATTAGCAGGTGGGAGCTCTCAAAGCAATGACACTGCTTCAGAATCAAAAGTGAACAATAATACTTGTGCCTTGATTTCTCCTCATTTCTTTCTCACACTTTCACTTGACTCAAGTGTTGATGGATGCTCCATTTCTGTTCTGATCATTCAGTCATCAAGCATCTCTCCTTAGAGCAGCACTTGTAACAATCATTGTTAACAGAGCAGAGGATCCTCACTGTCTCAGACGTCGCCCTCAGCACTGCACATTCTCTCCCTGCATCCACTGCCTTCCTGTGCATCCTGATACTGAACTTCCAAGCAAGTCAGGAGGAGCCAATTGACTGTGGCAGGAATAGGAACAAAGAGTAATTACTTGTTTTTAAAGCATTAGTATTATGGACTTCAACATGGTGTAAATGTAACTGCAATACCTGATACTTAAAGATTGCTCAAGTTAAACTGGCAAATGTTGCCCTGTCTTGGGTGATGCTGATGACTTTATTTTCCCTTGTTTTATTTGTATAGCCAAGTAGAAAAAAATACTAACAGCATTTCTCAGCAGAAAGCTGTTACCTAATGCAACCAGCTGAAGAACTGTGAGCTTCCTTGAGGAAGCAGCACCATGGAACTAACTGCAGAAAGCTAGAGGGGAAGCCTGAACTCCCAGATGCTATTCCAGTGTAGAAAGTCTTTGTTTTTAAAAAATAAAAACTGCATCAGAGCTTTGTTTGAGTGGTTTGGTCATGCAGACCAGACCAATATGTTTATAAACATCCTTGTAAATTAACTGTGTCCTTATATGTCTGTGTATTTTATGGTTGATTGGTTTCACTTTGAGTACTTATAACCTTATAACTAGGGTTAGATACTTGGGAACTGCCATTCACTGTGGAAATTATGTCACTGAGCAAAGAGCTCAATTGATTATTGACTGTAATCCTGTCTGTGGACAGAGACAGTGCCAGTGCTGTGTGTGATTTAAAGATTTTGATTTCTCCCACTGACTGACAAATAAATATTACCCTGTGTAAAACCATCCCCCTGCCCAGCTGGTGAATTGTACTGTCTGTGACTGGGACAGGACACTTCTCATTCAAACAGGGCACCAGAGCACCAAGAATCACTAAAAAGTCCAAAGAAATATCCAAAGTTCCAAAAGAAATCCAGCGCCAGGTCAAAGGGATGAGTCAGGGCACAAAGATACTCAGGAAGGGACCAGACCAGACTTCAGATGTGTGAGGGAGCTGCTGACCCAGAGGAGACAAATGAGAAGGAGGAGAGGACACAAAACTGCTCTGAGAAGGGGTGACTTCCAGAGATGTCCTGACAAACCCAGAAGGGTACAAAGTGTGCTCCAGAGATAGCAGTGTGCTAAGGTGATCCTTTAAAGCATCAGGATGAGAGAAGAGGAAAAAGAACAAGACACACAGAAAAATTAAAAAGCAACAGGGTATGTGACAAATGAGAAAAAAACCTAAAAAATAGCTATAGCCAGCCCAATAAAAGGAAACAGAAAGAAAAATTTTAAAAGCTAAGGGGTACAAGGCAGAGGAAAAAAAAATGAAAACAGGGACAAAAAGTAGAAGTAGACAGAGAAAAGCAATTTAAAAAATAAGAGGAGAGCGAATCTGTAGTAAAGCTTCAAAGCTTGGAGGAGCCTCACAATGAAGGGTCAGACAGGCTGCAGAATTGAGTGGAACCTCACAGACTCCATAAACAACATTGTCCCTTCAATTCTATGCTAATAAGACACTTAGAAATATTCCACAATGGCAACTGTAGAATTATCTTGTCTGCTATCACTCATTTTTAAACAAGGTTCCTTTGGTTTCCATGCAAATGCACTGACTGATGCCTTTTATTTAATTTCCATTTCATTTCATTTCACTTCATTTCATTTCTTTCATTTCATTTCATAGATTTCTCCATTAGTCACAGGCTATTTACATAATGTGATGGAATTGGCACGTGTGGAGCTATTCTCTGCAGAATTCACTTCACCCTCATACCTGGTGAGGAAAACCTGTTAATTCACAGAGATGTCAGGGTTGTAACACTCCATGAATTAGTTCTTCCAGCCAGGAATGGCTGCTAGAGTCACAAGAAGCTGTGAAAGTTTGGGTTCCCTCTAAAGAGAATCTCTGACCCCCTTGGCAGCTCCATTTTGGGTTGGAGACTCCTGCAGTGCTCGATTGCAGGGGCTCAGACCTGCAGTGCAGAGGGGCTGGAGAGGCACTGAGTCCTGCACAGCCTCCCCCTCCCCAGCCTCCCAGAGCACCCTGGCATTGCCCCAAACCTCTCCTGTCCTCAGTAAGGGCCAGCAGATTTGTCTACTAGCAAGTTACAGAATGACTGCTTTTGGTACTACACTTATTTGGGTGGTGTAGCTGTATCAAGTTAATTTCTACCGTGTGTTAATTTCTACCTTGAAGCCATCTCAGGAATCACCATAATTACAACTACTAAAAACCAACCCATGACTGCATTCTGATCATATTGCCAAATTTTATGAAGTATTTTGCCAGTGGAAGCTGTTCAATCCCCATCAGATTATTGGGTTTGGGGGTGGAAGTGGTATTGGGGTTATTGCTTTTCAAATAAATGCAACCACTGTTTTCTTGCACATGAGAAATAAACCTAGGCAAGAATAAAAGTCAAGAATCTTTGTGTAAATAGAAAAAATAAAGGAGATCCCAGAACAGTTTCTCCAGAGCAAATTTCCCATTCCTATGAAATTTCCTCAACAAAACTGTCCAGCTGCCTCCCCTTTTACATAAGGACAGGAACCTAACAGTAGCTATGACCTCACAGTCCTTACCCATTCCCAGTGCCTCTTGGGCAGACTCCACTGCTAAAGGAGCTCTCTTCAGCTGCAGCAATGAAAGCCAAACAGCCTGAATTTTGGGGAAGGGGCTTGACTCTGAAGTGGCAGGGAAGGAGCTGAATTTGACAGAGCAGAACAGAGCTGAGACAAGGTCTCAACAGAGCTCAGACCCTGGAAGAGACTCAGATTCTGCAGGAAAATGGAGATAGAGTTTACAAATATCAGAGTAGACTGCAACAGCATGTAAAAACAACAACAACAAATATATATGTGTGTGTGTGTTTAACTCAGCACACTGGCAGCTATCTGGGCTGCCAGAGATAAGATTGTATTTGAACATGATGTCTTTACAGGACACTTTTACAAATGAAAAACTAAAAAAAAAAGGAACCACAGGAACCATTTCATAATTCAACTTGCACAGGTGGAAGTTCCACATACAAACCACAGCCACACCCAGAGACAGGCAGTCCTTGCAGGAGCACAAAGCCATCAGGCACCTGAGATGTCAGTGAGGGACTCCCAGGCTTGTCCTGTAAGGCCTGGGAGCTCTTACAGCAAACAGCAGGGAGAGCCCAGGGCAGTGGATTGCCCCAGCTGTGTGCAGGATGGACACTTCACATCCTCACTGGTGGCTCTAAGTTTATTAGTAAAGGTCTGAGGGACCCCACCACACTCCCAGGATAAACCTTTGGAAGGTGAATTAGGCAGCAAATAATCTCCTTCATGACATCCAGGCCACTATTTCACTGTTTGTAAGGAATATCCTTGCCAGCCAGCCTAGCAATGTTGTCAGCATGGTGTGATGCCCTATCCAGCACACATGTACATTTCTGCATTTCAGGCAGCTTTAAGTGTCTCAGTGCTTCCAGCTCTCTATTCCCAGACCTTCTGACCATGTGAGCAAGTCAAGTTCTCACTCACACCAAATGCACCGTTCACTCCTGCCCTGGGAAGAAATCAGAGATCTCCTCCTTGGGACAGGCGTCATCCAATATTAAATCCATGTCCAAGGCTGGGCTTTCCCCTGGAACTGGCTCTCAAGACCCCTTGCTGCAGGTGCTGTCTGTCTGCAGCTCCTTGTGGAGGGTGGGAGCAGGGGGAGCTCTGGAAAATGTCACACTCAGGTGGTTTTGTGCCATCATCTCTGTTAGTGACCATAAACTGACCCCAAGAGAGCACATTCTCCAGGGCACTCACAGCCTCTGAGCATGCAGAACCTCCTGCCAACCCAGCAGGGTCAGACCCCCAGTGCTTGGCAGACAGAACCCCCAAAACCTATATTGAGGGCATAACCATCTTTTTGAAATGCTCTTTATTAACTAAAACCTGCTAAAACTTCACCTGCATTTAGGCATTCAAACAAAACCATTGGCATACTGCACTGAGTCGTCAGCTGAAGGAAGGGAAATCCTGTGACTGAGTGGGAACAAGATTCCTGGCTTCTCATTAAAGATGAACTTGAGACTCCTTTAAAAATTTGCCACAGAATTAGCATTGAATCTGAAAGCAAAATCTGAGTTGACTGAAAGGTCAACAAACACAGGGAGATAATTACTGCTTGATGTTCCAGGAAACCCAAGCTCTGACACTAAATTTTAAAAGAAAGCCTTTGATGAATGATAACAAAAACTTTCTTTCTTCCCATCCCCATCATGCAAACAGACCAGACACAGACATACAGAGGGCATTATGGAAAAACCCAACCATCATGGAAGTTCAAGTATCCTGTTAAACCTCACATTTTATTCACTGAGATACACAAAAATTAACTATTTCAAGGGAAAAGTTTGGGGTGTTTTGTTAGCCTAATTTACTTTGCTGACTTATCAATTTACAGAGTTGATTAGCTTTGGCTTTGAGCTCTTGCCTCTTTCTGAAGAAAAAAACACAGTGTATTAAGATTTGAGGAGTACTCAAGCCACGTTAAAAGGCTGAGGTGAGTGTTCAAATACTTTCAGTGTGTTTCTGCATGGAGGGGATCTGCAGCAACTCTACAAAAAGCATCTGAGAATAGCAGCAGCAAGTTATGAGCAAAAACATATTATGAACAAAGAAAAACTATGAACAGTCAAATTAATTTAATCAAGGGTTACTGTACATCTGCTGCTAAGAAATAATAGCTGCTTCTTGTTTTCTTGGAAAAGCTAAAAAAAGTCAGCGGCTAGTTTAACAATTAAGTGGAATTTTAAAATATGCAGAATGACTGAACTGTTAAGGATGTGAAGGGGCCTCTTGATACCATCTAATCTAACCCCCCATGCTCAGTAAGATAAAATGCTTTTCTGAAGTATAATCATAAATTCACATGATTAAAACTTCACCAGAAAGCTGCTCCTGGGCGGGTGTTGCTGAACCACCAGTGACCCCACCAGATGTTTGGTGCTGCTCCAGTTCAGGATCTCCCCACTCTGAAGGGTTATTTTTTTCTCTGTCCCAGTTCATGTTGCTGACAAACTGGGAGCTGAAGTCTCTCAGAAAAACCGAAATCTCCCAGTGGAGACCACTTCAGCTGCC